ATCATGCCAGTTCTTCATGGAGGACAAGGCAACTCAGGTCACGGTCCCTGAAACCCCTGGCCAGACAGTTGTAGAAGAAGATTACGTGGTAACACCAAGCAATACAGGCTGGAGACTAAGACCCTACTTCTTATTTCTATTTACCTATATGTATCGGTCCTTTGATTAAATCAAAAGCTACCAGAGTCTAATTCTATTCTATCCCTTCCACCTTCTTCCTCTTCACCCATTACACTTTTTTTCAATCTGTGTATATTTAGAATAATAATAAAATATTTCTAAAAGTATTAAAAATTGTCTAATCTATGGGAAAATTTAACAGAACAAAACCTACATGCTGTCCTAAAGGGTCACATAATGACACACTTGTGGTTTGGATATGGATAGAATTCTTAGCACTTTTAGGGGTGCATATAAATGATAGTTCCAATTATTGGTGAGGTAAAATATAAAACCATACTTTTGCTAAAAAAAAGTCATACTGATTATCATTTTAAAATATAAGTAAGTGGGCTATGTGGATAGCTCAAATGGCTGGAGGAGGGAGATGCATTATATACAGGGGCCCACACTCAATCCTCTGCCTTCCATGGTCACTCAAACACTGTGAGGAGTGACTCACCCCCGCCCCAAGTAAATAAATAAATGCTGAGTTCCACTCCACTACCAGAATTTCTAGTACTACAGCATAAATTTTTAAAAATGGGGCCAGAGAAATAGCAGAGAGGTTAAGACACTTGTCATGCATGTGTCCAACTCCTGCTTGATCCTCAGCATCATCTGGTCCCCTGAGAACTACCAAGAGTGACCCCAAGTACAGTGCTGTGAATGGCTCCCAAGTTCCATCAGGTATGGCCCCAAAATTGGTGAAGGGTTTGAATAGAAATTTTACTAAATTTTACTAAAGGTGGCATATCAATTGTCATGACAAAAATGAAAAAATGCTCAACACTAATAATCAGTAGTTAAAAAATACATCTCAGAGATATCTTAAATCCACCCAATTACTTTCATCAAAAAGACAGAGAATATGGTGAGGATGTGGAGGAAATAAAATAGTTATATAAACTAAAAACATTTTTACAGTTCTTAAAGAAGGATATAAATTTATATTATTATTTGCCCAGAAGGTCAATCAGTTAGATTTCCAGGACAGCCTAGTCCCAGGAGCAGCTCTAGGGAACACCTCCACTGTGGTGCTGATGGTCCCCAAGCATTCAATAAATCAATCATTCAATCCCAATGTCTGAGAATTACTAGTAGTTTCCCTGGGGCCCTCTTGGCAGGCTTTGGAGTACCTCCTACCCCAAAGGAAAATGTATTTTTTTTTTATGTAGGAGTACTGCTATTTGCTCAGCCATTGATTAGCTGATTGAATTGGGGATAAACCACCTTACTTTGTTTTTCATTTTTTATAATTTTATTATTGAATCACCATGAGCGCAGTTACAAAGCTTTTGGGTCTAAGTCTCAGTCATACAATGAAACACCCGTACCTTCACCAGTGCCCATTCTCCACCACCAAAAACCTCAGTATACCCCCATCCCACACCCTCCCCCTACCTGTGGGGCAGATGATTTCCACATTACTCACTCTATACTTTGATTACATTCAATATTTTGACACCAGACCCACCATTATTATTTGAGACTTTACCCCAACACTCAGATCTGCTGAAAAAAGCAACAGTAGACAATTTGTTTTCTATTCCTGGTTATGAATAACATATGATGTCGCATGGCTGCAGCAGTGGCCGCGCGATTTTGAAATTCCAAAATTTTAATGATTAAATCTGGATGGATTTCTGCCAAAACCTGCTGAGTTCCGAGATTTGTTTCTGAGTCTCTGGGATCATGGCCGTTAAGCAGCTTGATCAGGAGTCAAAGAGGCCTTTCATGGGCGGTGACTCAGGGTCTCGTTGGGACAGGGAGAAAAGGGCCGGCTCCACCCCCATCCCGTGAGGCGCTGTGTGTCTCATCACTGAGGGCCCAAACCTGACTGCCCAATGGCCTCTGAAGGATGGCAGCCACCGAGCTGCCTAGGGGGAGCAGGCGGAGGGACTACACCCTTTCCCCACTGGGGTGGCCCTGGGACAGGAACCTACTGCAGGACCGGAGGCATTTCTGCCAAAAGTCGTTGGGTTTTGAGATTTGTTTCTGAGTGTCTGGGATCATGGCCGTTAAGCAGTTCAAACAGAAACCAGAGAGGCCTTGCCTCCAATTATATAGCTGAGCCGGAGGTGGTTTGCAGGTGTGTCTCCCACATAACTAACTTTTGGCTGTTTACTTTCTTGGTGAATTTTGTCCCAAGTTTTTTGGGTCTGGCCAAAAGCACAGCAGCAATTTTGGGGTATCTGGAAGTCTGAAGGCACCATCAGGCTGCTGATGCACTCGCCTCACAGGTACAGATTGACCACTGGCAGCACCATAGCCCCAATGTCTAGTTTTCTTAAACTCAGCATCAAAGACCGAATCTTTAATTTGAAAGGACATAAAGGGCAGAAACTTTAGGACTAGCTGGAGATTGGTTTAAATTTCTATTCTGTAACTCATTTTTAGTTATGAATAAATCAATCCTAGATTTCTCCTCCAAAAACAAGAAAATATTTTCTCCTACAATGTTGCTACCACAATCAAATTCTAATATTAGGATTATAAAAGTTACATATTTATTATTTTGGTTTTTTTTCTTTTTTGGGTAACACCCGGCGTTGCTCAGGGGTCACTCCTGGCTCTGCGCTCAGGAATTGCCCCTGCTGGTGCTCAAGGGACTATATGGGATGCTGGGAATCGAACCTGGGTCAGCTGTGTGTAAGGCAAATGCCCTACCCGCTGTGCTATGGCTCCAGCCCCTATTTTGTATTCTTTATGTGTGTTATGGATTAAAAAGATAGAGTCTAAGGTCACTGATATTAGGTGATGCTATACCGTATTGGACAAACTTTTGATTTGAGAAAAACTAGATTTCCTTCATTAAAGAAGGCATACTTAGAAAAGAAAGAAATGCTTTTTTTGTTTTGTTTTGGGGCCATACCTGCTGATGTTCGGGGCTTACTCCTGACTCTGCACCCAAGAATTACTCTTGGCTATGCTCAGGACACCATATGGGATTCTGGTGATTGAATATGGGTTGGCTACAATCAAAGGCAAATGCCATGCCCACTGTACTATTGTTCCATCCCCAGAAAGAAATGCTTACTAAGAGTTTCACCTAGTCAGAAGAGGGGGGTTGAAATAAGAGGCAGTCAGTTGTATTGTGATGTCCCCTTGAAGTCTTTTCTTCCTTCCTTCCTTCCTTCTTTCCTTCCTTCCTTCCTTCCTTCCTTCCTTCCTTCCTTCCTTCCTCCCTCCCTCCCTCCCTCCCTCCCTTCCTTCCTCCTTCCCTCCCTCCCTCCCTTCCTTCCTCCTTCCCTCCCTCCCTCCCTCCCTTCCTTCCTTCTCTTCTTCCTTTCTCCATTTCATTCTTTCTCTCATTCTTTCATTTTCGAGGGGCTACACCTGATGGTGTTCAGAGCCTACTCTCATCTCAGTGCTCAGGTGACCATGCAGAGCCGGGGATGGAACCCAAGCCTGGATCCACATGTGAAGCATGAGCTTGAGCCCATCAGGCTGTCTCTTAGGCCACAACAGTTTCAACAATTGACAAACAAGAGCGTAAATGAAAAACAACCAGTTATGTGCTGATGTCACTTCACTGTTTTCAACAGAGTTGTATTTCTGAAGAAAACTTTGAAAGGGACAGAGATTTTGTTAAAATAACTCAGAACTCCACCCAGATCCTCCAAATTCCAGTAGGCGGGGGTCACATCCACCAACTGGCCCCCTGGCGCCGTGTAATCCCATCAACTGCCAAGACTCAGACTATAAAAACCAGCTCCTGGAACCGCGCGGCCGCCGCACGACATCTTATTATGACATCTTATTATCTCATTCCTACTTTGGACAAACTGGCAGGCTACCGAATGTAGCCTGCCCACATGGCAGAGTCTGGCAAACTCCCCGTGGCGTACCCAATATGCCAAATACCAGTAACAATGATGGGTCTCATTCTCCTAAAGAGCCTTGAATATAATCTCAGGGCTAGGATGAAGGAGACATTACTGGGGCCTGCTCAAGGCAATCGAGGAATAACAGGATGATTTGTGATTGTGATTGTGAACTCAGAACTCTAATTTTATAAGGGGACTGTTTCTCAAAAACATCACAAGACCATAAATGATATATACATCAATACATATGTATCATGTATCTATGGGTGTATATGTATAAATATTTAAACATATAATAAACATATATAATCATAAATATATTTATGCATAAATATATGTATCATGTGTCTATGGGGTGTATATTCTGTATATCTATATACATATACATTTATGAATACCTATGTCCATAGATACATATGTATCACGTGTGCATCTACAGGATGCGCTCCCAGTCGGGCCCGACCAGCGCCACGCACTTTCTCTCCAGCCGTCTGGGCCTGCGTGGACGGGCCTGGGGCCTTGTGGGAAGCCGAATCCCGGGTCGCCTAGCAACCGGGGAGCGATCGCTCGGCGCTCGACTGCGGCGGCGGGGCCGGGGCGCGGCGGCCCGCGGTGCGCACGCGCGGAGGGGCGGCGGCGGGTGGGTGGGCGCGCGCGCGGGCGCCGCTAGCCGGGGCGGAGGCGGCGGCGGCGGCGGGGGCCGGAAGCGCGCGCGGAGGGTGCGGCCCGGGGCGCGCGGGCGGGCGGCGGGCCGGGCGGGCAGCGGCGCCCGGATGCGGCTGGTGCGCGCAGCGGCGCGCCGAGCGGCAGGTGGGCTGCGCGCCCGCGCGCGGGGGTAGCGGGGAGGCGAGGCGGGGAGGAGCGCGCGACCGGGCCAGCGGGCTGCGGGCTACGGGCCCGGTCCGGCCCGGCCTAGCCCGGCCCGGCGTCCGCTCACCCCGCGCCCTCCTCTGCAGGTCCCAGCGCCCCGCGGGAGGAGCGCCGAGCGCGCTGCGGCATGCCCCGCGCCACCGGCCCTCGGGAACAGCGCGACGGCCCGCGGCGGCCCGGCGGCATCGCTGCGGCGGGCGCGAGCGGGATGCGGCGGCCCCCCGGGACCCCGGCGAGCCGGCCCTGACGCGGGGTCCCCGGCCTCCCAGTGCCCAGTTCCTCCGAGCCCGGCCCCGCGCGGATGCCTCCCAGGTGAATGCAGCCTGCCTTTTGTGTGTTTGGGGTGCCAGGGGCGGGGGTGGGGGGTGTTTGTGTGTGTGTGTGGGGGGGGGTTGGCATCCGTAAGAAAAGGTCCTGGGTGCCCCAAAAAAGGGTGCAGGAGATGGGTGGGAACTGGCGAACTGGCATGGCTTGGGCTGTGCGACCGTTCAACCTGAGGTCCTCCGAGGGCCCCAAGTTGTTGCAGGTGCTCTGGTCGGGGGGTCACCTGCGTGGAGAACGCCGTTACCCATGCCCTGGAGAGAGTTGAGCGGGAGTTAGTCGTACGTGTGGCTTCCCAAGGAGGCTCTTGCAAGCTTGTTTGCGCTTGGCCCGGGAGTTGTGCCGAGAAATGGGTCTTCCTTCTGCAGCTTTCATGCTAATGATTTTTTTAAATTTTGATTTTTTTTTAAAGCTTGCTTGAGATACCAGGTTTTACAGTACTGTTTCTAATAGTTCCATGCGCGCATCGTTTCAGTACCACACTGGCCACCCAAGTGCCCGCTTCCTAGAGGCCTCTCTTCTTCACCACTCCATCAAACTCTGTTCTGTGAATTAATGTTTCAAATACTTTGTGGGGGGGCCTGGAGTTTGCCCCCGGGATAAAGCGCTTGCCTTGCACGTGGGAGCATCTGGGTTCCGTTTTCATGCATCCAAAGTATCCCTCCCCACCATTTATAATTTATTGTATTTCGTAGGAAAAACAAAACCTGCAAGTGTTTGTGTGGTAGGTACCCTGCTAATAACAGCACAGAAATTTGCCAGATGAAGTAACATGTGGTGTTCCTTAAAGCCCTTTCAGTGGCTATATGTTTAGGCTAGGGAAGGTTGAAAGGAATTCATTGAAGTTGCCGAAGCCATTCATTGCATCTAGCAAATGGATGCGTTTCAGTGAGCTGATTTTTTGAGCTACACACAGAGGCCGCCCTGGGCTCTGCTTTGGTGGTCGCCGACCCTGTGGAGTCCGGGGAAACTGAGGCTGCTGCCTGCAGAACATGTATTGAGCCCTCTGAGCTCTCTCCAGCCCTCAGATAACCTGTTTCATGTCACTCTAAGAAAAAGTCCTGACATTGGGCACTAGCAGATAGATCTGCACCCAGCCTGCTTCTAGCCAGGAAAACATATAGGGAAGTATTCAGGGCATGATTGTATTAAAAGTAGGGAGCGAAGAATTTAGTGTCCGGGTTCTGGCCTTTCTTCCAAGCACCACACAGCATCAGCGGGGCAGAACCCTGCAGGGACAAGCTTGTTGGACTGGAATTGCCCCTCCGGGTGAGGGACTCCAGGGATGGTTGTAAATCCCCTTCACCTGGCTTCTGTGGGCTACTGGTCACCTTTCTTTGTTCTACGGATGCTTAACTCATCACACTTCAGAGGCACGCCACAAAGCAGAAGTCTGCTGAGCCGTCACATTAAACTCTGTTTGAACTGGTTTCAGAAGCCGGGAGTTAACCTCGAAAACACCATTTTGGTTTTATGTCTGAAGGTTAAAGGCACAGATCAGCAGTCAAGCATTTTCAGAAGAGGGCTTGAAATCACCACCGACTCTTTCATTGTGTTTGAAGGTATTGAGACCAATTTGTTGTCGATCATTATTACTCTAGTGGTGATCATAATAATGATTGTGGAGTTTTAGTTGTTTTCTAGCTTAAAAACAAAAAGCCTCAGGAAAAATCTGCTTTAAACCTTGCCCAGAAACTTTTTTTTACAATTTTTAATTTACTTACTGTTTTTTTTTGGGTCACACCCAGCAGTGCTCAGAGGTTACTCTTAAGAAGCTCTGCACTCAGGAATCCCTCCTGGTGCTGGGGGAATCATACGGGATGCTGGGGAGTGAACCCAGGTAGGCTGTGTGCAAGGCAAACGCCCTAACCTCTATACTGTTACTCCGACCTCAAGTCCAAAAACTTTGAGAATGACTGTAACTGCGGCTTCTTTAGGTGACAGGGAGTGTTTTCCTTTCTGGTTGTTGTTTATGGCAGGGGGGCATAACCTAGCAGTGCTGGGGGGAGCAGGGTGCTCCCCTCAGATTTGGGGGACTATGCAGTGCCAGGGGTCAGACACAAGCCCCACACATGCAAGGCCATGCCCTCCCACTGACCCTCACTCCCCGCCCTTGCGTTCTTGCAGCTGATGAATGGATGCTGTTTTAGCGCTTGGTCTCTTCTAAGGTTTGGCTCATTCACCGTCTGCTTCTAGTTGTATTTGAGGATGGGTTTGCGTTGCTCCGTCTAAATCAACAGCTTCAGGACGTCTGCTCTCACCAGGTTCTACCCGGTCAGCCTTGAACACTTTGTTCATGTCCGGGAGTATCGTTTTATGACATCTGACCAGGGCATAAGCCTGTAAATATAGAATAATTACATATATCGTCAGACCATTGTGGGTTTGGGGGAGGGAGGGTATGGGGTTGGGCCACACTGGTGCAGTGCTCCAGGCTGCTCCTGGGTCTGTGCTCTGGAGACTGTGGTACTGAGGATTGAATCTGGTTGGCTAAATGTAAACAGATTCCTTGACCCCCTTGTACCATCTCTTCCGGCTTTGTAGATACCCTGCAATATAAATCTATATGATTTTTGTTTTGTTTTGGGGCACCTCCTGGTGCTCATGACTTACATCCATGCAGGATGCTAGGGATCGAACCCAAGTCACCGATGTGCAAGGCAGGTGCCCTACCCGTTGTGCCGTCACCCTGGGCCTAGTGTGTGGTTGGCTTTTTCTAATTGTACTTACGAACTTGGATTCCTTTTACCTTTCTTTCTTTTTATATGTTTTAGTCATGGTGAATTACAGAGTCATTCATGATTTGGTTTCAGACGTCCAATGTTCCAGCATCGTTTCCCTTCACCAGTGTCCGCTTTGCTCCACTGGGCTCCCCAGTTTTATCCCCCCCACCCCGCAGCCTGCCTCTGTGACAGGCACTTCCTTTTCTTAAACACGTCTTTGGTGCTGTGGTTTACAGTTACCGTTGTGCTGGTAAGAACTGCAGATGCTATTCCGTTGGCTTGGGATTTACAGTAAGGTGCTCCTGCCGGAAATCCTGTTCCTTCGTCAACGAAGTTGACCGAGTTCTTAGCCAGGATCCCAGTTTCCCCGCCCCATTGTCTCAGGTTCTTCTGGTACCTTCTGCAATCACTGACAAAAATTTTTTCTCCCCTCCCCCCCCCCTTTTTTTTTTTGCATAATCGGTTGCTGTTTGCTCTTTCCTAGGATGAATGAGATGAACCTGAGCCCGGTGGGGATGGAGCAGCTGACTTCATCCTCCGTGAGCAATGCCTTGCCAGTCTCGGGGAGTCACCTGGGCTTGGCTGCGTCCCCCACTCACAATGCCATCCCTGCTCCAGGTGCGTGGAGGAGGCGGGGCAGGAAGGGATCTTCGCCCCTCGCGGCCCTGTCTCTGAATGGGGGGCTTGGGGGGGAAACATGTCAGAGACCCTTTAAAAAGTGGACAGCAGAAAACAGGCCTAAGTGGTGATTCCCTTCCAGTGTCCTAAAGGATGCGTTCTTCTGACCCCTGCCTCTGACCATCTGGGGTTCTGGCCTTTCCTCTGGGTTGTGATTTATTATCTCGGATTACGCATTCCTGGGCGGCACATCCTTATCACTTGATTACCGTGTTAACTAAAGAGAACCGCAGTTACTGTTTGCTGAAAGTATGAGGAATTTTTATTTTTTATTTTATCAGGAACTGGCAATCTTTGCCAATGTGCCATCCCTAGAATTATGGGGAAAGCAGAGATTTAAAAAAAAAGGTGGATCGTCCCTGGAGTCCCAGTGTTGAATTATAATATAGGAAAAGTTAGTGTTCCCCATTATTGTATCTTTAAAACTTTTTTTTTGTTTTGTTTTTATGGGCCAGTCAGTGCTCGGGGCTCATACCTGGCTCTACACTCCAGGTTCACTCTTGGTGGCCTCGGAGGACTGTATGGGCTGCCAGGGGTTGAACCCGGATCCGGCAGCGTGCAAGGCAAATGCCCTACCTGCTGTACTATCACTCTGGCTCCTCAATTAAAAAAAAAAAAAAGAAAATTTCACAAATTTTTAAAATATTTATTAGTTGTAAACTATTTGTTATCTCTTAGACATTTTTTATAGTGAACTCTTGATAAGTAGGGAAAAAATTTAAACTATTGCTGTTGACAGAAAAAAATACACAGAAGCATGGTCTAAATTTGGGGGGTGGGGGGTTGGGGGCGGGAAGTTTTGAAAACTGCTCAGAGGACCTGGGAACCAGTTCTGGGAATTCTCCACTGAGCGGGCAAGTAGTTTGAGTCCAGGGTCCAAGGGTTCATTGCTGCTCTGGTCCTGCGGTGCCAGTGACCCTTAGGCCCATGCCCAGCTTTGCTCCAAGGGCCTTGTGATGTGCCAGGGATCAAACCCTGAACCTGTGCTGACTCCAGCCCTGGCTGCCTAAATTTCCATGTTCATTAGCGTTCTTAAGCACTATCAGAGTCCCTTCTACCATTTTCAGATGATAGTCTCCAAGGTAGACAGCATCTCAAGGTTCCGAGTTTCAGCTCTGTTTCCTTGGGTCTCATCGGTGCTCAGGTGCCAAGGGCCCATCCCAGTTATGCTTGGCCTGATGTTGGAGACTGCCCGTGGTGCTGGGAAGGGGTCAGGTCAGCCGCAGGCGCAGGCGGGGGAGCTCTTCAACCCCTGGCCTTTATCTCTGACCTGCTTTAGTCCTGTTTAAAGGAGGTCTTTTTTTTTTTTTTTCAATTAATGAAACACCATGAGGTACAGTTGTAGACTTACACATTTTTGTGCTTGGGTTTCATTTATACAGTGATCAAGTACCCATCCCTCCACCAGTGCCCATTCTCCACCACCAATGATCCCAGTATCCCTCCCACCCCCCATCCCATCCTGCCTCTGTGGCAGGGCATTCCCTTTTGTCCTTTCTCTCCTTTTGGGTGCTGTGGTTTGCAAAAGAGGCATTGAGTGGCAATCATGTTGGGTCTATAGTCTTACTTTCGGCACGCATCTCCCATCCTGGGAGGATCCTCCCAACACCCTTTACTTGGTGCTCCCTTCTCTATCTGGGCTGCCTTTTCCCCCAGCATGTGCGGCTGGCCTCCAAGCCATGGAGTGAACCTCATGGTACTTATCTCAACTATTCTTGGGTGTTAGTCTTAAAGGAGGTCTTTAATTGCTTTCCAGTGTCTTGATACTTATTTGCAAGAGAAACCATTGTAGGATCAACTTGGCTCTGTAAATCTAGAGAACCAGCGTTAGGACCAGGGCTCCAGTCATTAGTCCTGTTTGTGAACTTTTACACAGAACTGCCTGGTAGGGATGGGCTAGAAGGGGGCACTAGGAAGGGACACAAAAATCTATAGAGATTCTACTCCAGAGGCAAAGTCTTCCCAAGGGTTTAGCTGGTGAGAGGTCAGAGAGACAGTCTAGGCGTTGGAAGGGCTTAGCCAGTGAATAGAGAGGATATTTTAAAATTATTTTGTAAATTTTTTTAAAAAATTTTTTTATTAAGGCACTGTGACTTAACAGTTTCTCCTAGTTGATTGCTTGTTCAAGTAAACGGTGTTCCAAGACCAGTCTGGGGCCATCAGTGTCCCCTTCCCTCCACTGTCACCCACAGCTTCCCTCTCCACCCCGCAGCCTGCCTCCCGACAGGTCTTTAAGCTTGGGTGTTGATGTGTGAGTTCCTTTGATGCTAAAATTGAGAAAGCACCTGTTTTCTATTCAACAGGCCTGCCAGTGGCAATTCCAAACCTGGGTCCCTCCCTGAGCTCTCTGCCTTCTGCCTTGTCCCTGATGCTCCCCATGGGCATTGGGGATCGAGGAGTGATGTGTGGGTTACCTGAAAGAAACTACACCCTACCTCCGCCACCGTACTCCCACCTGGAAAGCAGTTACTTCAGAACCATTCTACCTGGTAAGCGTCACACTCACTTGTAGAACGGGGAGAGAGAAGAGCATGGACTCTTCCCCTCATTGCTCCAAGGCTTGAGTTACGGCACTTGTTTCTCTCGCCATCACTGCAAGATACTGGTCGGTATAGAAAACATTTTTGTGTGTTCAATGGGCCAAAGGCATCACAAGGGGAGAAGTGATCCACACAGTTGGGTGGGTTGAAAGAGGGATTGAAAGAGGGGCGCTGGGGTTCTTGGGGGGAGGGAGGTGGGTCCATGGATGAAGGGTGTGGTATTAGCACTATGTGCGTGGGAAACCATGAGTTACAGTGTTGCAAACTACAGAATATCAATAATAAAAACAGTTGACAAAGTTGAGGTCAGTGTTTCTGTTGTCGCTGTTCTGAGCCATGCCTGGCAGAGCTCAGGGGTCCCTGTGCACTTCCATGGACTGACTGCCAGGGCCTTACCTCCTGAACTCTCCAGCCCTAAGACTTGATGGGCCGGGACTGTCTTTACTGTTTCTACTCAGTATGTACCCAATTCTTGTTGCTGTTTTTGGGTCACACCCAGCAGCCTCAGTTCTGTGCTCAGGCTTTACTCCTGGTGGGGCGTGGATACAAGTTACAGGATTCTGGGCGTCGAACCCTGGTCGACCGCATGCAACGAAGCCCCCCATCTGCTATACAATTGCTCCGGTCTATGCCCAATTTTTATAGTAATTTGTTCTCTTTCTACCTTGTTTTCATTGTTAGCCCTTTTAATGATTCTTACCATATACTGAATACATGGTCCCTTTTTTTAATATTTTTTGTCATTGAACAGTTTCGTGTGTGTGTATTTTTTTTTTTTTTTGGGCTACACCTGGCAGTGCTCAGGGCTTAGTCCTGGCTCCGTGGTCAGGAGTCTCTCCTGGAGGTGCTCCAGGCACCATATGGAGTGCCGGGACTCCTTTACTATCCTAGGATTGGTGGAGGATTCCAGCTGTCTCCATAGGGCTGGATATGTAGCTCAGTGTCTAGGACACACGATGTCCCCAGAGGGGGCCCTGACTTGGCCCCAGCTCTGAACTGGGGGAAGCCTCTCCGTGTTATTGTCTGTGGCCAGAAAACAACTTAAATAAGTGCGCATTTGAATGATTGACTTTCAGCAAACTTCAAAGAAATACTCACTTTTTTTTTTTTACATTTCGAGTTTTACAGGAAAAAGTTAATTATGGTCTGTATTGCTGTTATAAAACTTACCTAATTAACATGAGGTAGGCCGAAGATGACTTAGTTCTAAGATATTGTCTAATGTTTGGAATTGCTGATATTTACCAGGGCACTGCCGAGTTCCTGATCACTCTTCTCTTTCTCCAGGCATCTTATCGTACTTAGCAGACCGCCCGCCCCCGCAGTATATCCACCCCAACTCCATAAACGTCGACGGGAACGCGGCCTTGTCTATCGCCAACAACCCCTCGGCGCTCGATCCCTACCAGCCCAGCGGGACCGTCGGCTTGGAACCGGGCATCGTGTCCATAGACTCGCGCTCTGTCAGCACACATGGGGCCCAGAGTCTCCACCCCGGCGATGGCCACGAGGTGGCCTTGGACACCACGATCACGATGGAGAACGTCTCCCGGGTGACCAGCCCCATCTCCACCGACGGCATGGCGGAGGAGCTGGCGATGGACGGCGTGGCAGGCGAGCACCCCCCGATGCCCACCGGTGCCCGCAGTCACGAGGCGCTGGCCGTGGAGTCCGTGAGCAGCAGCCTCGCAGCAGACCCCGTGGGCCACGGCGCCGTGCTCCCCCTCCACGGCAACGGCCTGGAGCTGCCCGTGGTCATGGAGACGGACCACATTGCCAGCCGCGTCGGCGGGATGCCGGACGGTGCCCTGGGGGACTCCATGCACACCGTGGCCATGAGCGGCAACTCTGTAAGCGTGGCACTCTCTACCTCACACAACCTCGCCTCCCTAGAGTCCGTTTCCCTTCACGAAGTTGGCCTCAGCCTCGAGCCCGTGGCCGTCTCCTCCATCACCCCGGAGGTTGCCATGGGGACAGGCCATGTAGATGTGGCTACCGACAGTCTTTCTTTTGTACCACCTTCTCTGCAAATGGAAGACTCCAATTCAAACAAGGAAAATATGGCAACCTTGTTTACAATTTGTGAGTGTGCTCAGCCTTTTTCTTTTGGAAATGTTGACAGACAAGGGCCATCTCATAAACTCGGGAATTGATTCAGAGACGAGAGAAAAATGATTAGGCTTTGTGCGATTTTTCTCTGCCCTAAGTACTGTGTTTTAATGTGAGTAATTCCCCCATCCCCTCTCCCAGTAGGCCAGGTAACGTGTGAACATTTCATTGGCTCTTACGGTGGCTTTCCAAAGTAAGGGCAAATGGTTATTTCTGTATTTTACAGATTGACTTAGCCCAGAAATATCTCAGATTTTTTTTCTTTTTTGATGTTTCGTAAATAGAGTTAATTTAGGTGTAAACTTGAGTAAGGTAGTCTGTGAGATACACCTTCCGCTTTTACAAAATAAGATAAGACGTATCAGATAGGTACTTTTTTTTAATTCCCATGGAGAATTGAAGATGAATACTAATGCAGAATTTTCCACTCAAAACGGATGTAAATGACCACAGTTGGTTATGTAAGGATTTTATTTATGGGATAGCAATAAAAAAGCAGTATTAAAATGTTAATTTACTAGGATTTGTTAGTGTCATGACATGGTTCAATCTTGCAGGGAATGTGCTGATGTTTATTATAGAGCAGTCCTTATACCAGATGCTAGAGAGAAAGTGTAAGAGACCGAACATGACGGGGCCAGAGCCCTGGGCACAGCGGGGAGGGCACTTGCCTTGCTTGCGACTTGCCTGAATTTGGTCTCTGTCACCCTATATGGGGGCCCCTAAGCCCTCCAGGGTGATTCCTGAGTACAGAGCCAGGAGTTACCCCCGAGCATCACCAAGTATGCCCCCCCAACCAAAAGAAAATAACCTCCCCATCCCATCCCCCCCAAAAAAAATAAAGCACATAACTGATGAGATGCTGTTGTAGGGGTTGAGTATAGAGGTGTTGAAGGAGCGTGAGGGGGTATCTGAGCAAGCGATGGAAAGCCAGTGAAGACTCACCAGGGATACTGAGTGACAGGACGGCTGTCAGCTGTTCATTCGGAAACTACAGCGTCTCAGACAGGACTGGGCCAACACTCAGCCTAGTGGTTAAGCATCCTGAGTGGTTATGAATTTCTGAAGCATTCCGTGGGGGTGAGGGTCTGAGAGAAGTGGGAAGCAGAGCATGAAGGTTTTTCTAAGACCAGTCCTAGGGTCTTCAGGGCAGAAGATCTGTTGCAGTTTGAGGCTGACGAGTTTGTTGGCGACAAGCAGATTACGTGATACCATAATTTATGTCTTTGCAGCCTACGAGAGAGGTAATGAAGATGAAGAAAGGTAGAGGGTATCTGTTGAGAACACAGTAGAGCTAATAGGTTGGACTAAGGAAAAACTGGGTGCTGGAGAGATAGTGTGGCACTGTCTGGTCCCCTGAGTACAACCAGGAATAAGCCCTGAGTACCGCCAGGTGTGACTTCAAACACCCCCTCTCCCCCCAAAAAAAAATAACGAAGAAGTAAAAGAAAATTTTGATTTCTCACATTGGGAAACTACATAGTTGTGAAAAAATTGCTTCTGATAATGAATAGTGGAAAAGGAGTACATGTTTTTGTCTTTTTTTTTTTTTTTTGCAGTGCTGTGAATTAAATCCAAGGTCTCGAATATGCAAGGCTGCTTGCTTTACCACCGAGTTTATGCCTGGCCTTGTAGATTGGACTGGTTTGGGTGTTTGTTATTTTCTTGAGGACTGATGGTGAGGCCAGTTGTAATGAGAAGTTGAACCTGAAACTCAGAGATATTTTACTGGAAATACTTAGGAACCCTCAGCATTCAGGGTGCCCTTTAATCATGGTCATGGACTTGGGGTGGAGCCATCTGTAAGAGTGTGGAATGGCAAGGGACTCGGAATATGAAACACAACAAGCCCAGGAAGTGATTTCGAGGTAGGAGACTCTGCAAAGCAGAGAAAGCCTTCTGGCACTGTAGAAGCCAACCAGTGGGGAGAACTTTTGGAGTATGAAATGAAATGTGTAATTTATAAATAACTTAGGAATATAATTGGGCTGGAGTGATAGCACAGCGGCTAGGGCGTTTGCCTTGCAGGCGACCAACCCAGGTTTGATTCCTCCATCCTTTTTGTAGAGCCCAGCAAGCTACCGAGGGTATCCTGCCTGCATGGCAGAGCCTGTCAAGCTCCCCGTGGCGTGTTCGATATGCCAAAAACAGTAACAACAAGTCTCACAATGGAGACGTTACTAGGCCCGCGCAAGCAAATCAGTGAACAGCGGGAGGACAGTGCTACAGGAATATAATTGATGTAAGCTCAGTGATGTGGCTGTTGGTAAGAGGTAGCCTCAATAAAGCCAATTGCTTTGTTTCTTCAAGTGAGCAATGTTGTTCGTTGGTTTGGTATGGGGCCTTCACCCAGCAGTGCTCAGAGTTTACTCCAGGTTCTATGCTCAGGGATTACTCCAGGCAGTTTTGGGGGATGAACTCAGTTTGCTTCCTTACCCTCTGTTCTGTTTCTCTGGACCTGTGTTTTTTGTTTTGTTTTTAAGGACATACCTGGTGTGTATGTATGTGTGTGTGTGACCTGTGTGTTTTGTTGTTTTTAAGGACATACGTGTGTGTGTGTGTGTGTGTGTGTGTGTGAGTGACCTGTGTGGTTTTTTTTGTTTTTTTGTTTTTAAGGACATACCTGGTGTGTGTGTTTGTGTGTGTGTGTGTGTGTGTGTGTGTCTTAGGAGGGTTGGGCCACGCCTCAGTGGTATTCTTGGTTCTCTGCACAGGGATGGTGGTGCTTGGAGGGCTGTTGTGGTTTGAAGGATTCAGACTGGGGTTAGCTATGCAAGGCAGACTCCTTAACCCCAGTATTACCTTTTTGGCCCTATATTTACGTTTTACTGATTTGTCATTGTGATGCTCAGGAGTTCCTCAGGAATTAATCCTGGCATGCTTGGATGACAATATGAGATACAGGGGATCCAACCCAGATTGGCCACATGCAAGGCAAGCGCCTTGACCCATTGCACTCTCTCCAGCCCCACACATTTACATTTTAAAGTGTAGAATTTACTTTCGTATTAGTGGGTATTAGTATATTGATGAGGTTTTACTGGAGAGAATCATGTAATTCCAAATATCTAATTCCTCTGTCTTAATTCCAAGACGTCATTATCACTGCATAAAGAAATTGTATTAGAGTTAGTTCTTCACCATCATCCCCTTTATTCCCTGTTCTTAGGCAAGTACAGATCTGTTTTATGTATCTACCTATTCTGGACATTTTGTGTGAATGGATTCATGCAGTATGTCTTCCTGTCATTGTTCCTAGTGTATTGTATCATGAATCAGGTATTATTACTTAGGAGTGTGATTGGACGCATGGATGAAGTAGGCCCATTCAGCTACAGTAATAGCCTGGGTGTGTAGACTGCGATCTAGATTTTTCCTTCACCTGGGTAGGCTATTGTATCCCTATCGTTGATACATGACTCCATCAGTTTTGGCTGGATACCGTCCCTTTGTGTTGGGATATTGCCTGTTTGGGTGAATCTTGTTTATGAGCATTTGTTTCTTGAGTTTGGCTCCCTTGAGTCATTCTGCTATGGGCATTTATATATAGGTGTTTTTGTTATTTTTGTTGTTGTTGTTGTTGTTGTTGGACCACACCTGGCAGTGCTGGGGGCTACTCTTGGCTCCGTGATTTGGGGCTGGGAAACTGCCAGGAGTAAGCTCTGAGCACCGCTGGGTGTGCCCCCATCCCCTCCCGCCAAGCATGAGCTCCAGCCCTGTGAGTTACCTCTGTAGCCTACACCTGTTTTGTGGGGGACAGGGACACCCAGCAATGCTCTGGAGTTGCTTTTGGCTCTGCACTGAAAAATTGCTTCAGGTCCTTGGGGACCATATGGGATGCCAGGGATCAAACTTGGGTTGGTTGTGTACCAAGCAGGCCCCTTCCCCTCTGTACTTTCTGGCTTCTTCCACATCTCCCACATATGTCATCACTGTTAGGTTTTTGTTGATTTTTGCATTTTTGGTCCCATTGATGGTGCTCAGGGCTTACTCCTATCTCTTTGATCTTTAGGTCTCACTCCCAGCAGTGCTTGGGGAAGAACCTTGTGGAGTGCTAGGGGTTTAGCCCAGATTAGCTATATGCAAGGCAAGCACTGGTGCTACCTCTGGTTCCCTATCTTTATATATATGTGTGTGTGTGTGTGTGTGTGTGTGTGTGTGTGTGTGTGTATAAAGTAAAAATGTTCGGTGCTTAGCGTTTGGAATAATTGCTAAGCTGCTTGACAAAGTGCCTAGTGCCTTAACCTTCCAGTCCTAGTGTACTTCAAAGAAACTTCTAGGTAGTTTTGTGGTGTGAGATCTGAATCACCCTTTGGAGGCGTGAATCCTCTTCTTCAGAGCACTAGAAAATGAGTTCTGATAGTGGGCCAGAGAGAGCACAGGGGGTCAGGTGACCGAGCAGGGTTTGATCCCTGTTACGGTCCCTCACATGCCTGCCGAAAGGAATTCCTGAGCACAGAAACCCAGACCAATAACCCATATACCAGAGGGATATAGTAAGATGGTATCGGCATTCAGGCGCTTGCCTTGCACGGGGCTGACTAAGATGTGGTCCCCAGCATCTCATACTGTACTCTGAGGTGAGACCCCTGAGCACAGAGCCAGGGGTAAGCCCTCAGCAGAGCTGAATATGGACCACGCCCCCCCCACTCTCCCCTATTCTTATAGAATATAGGGGATTTAATTATCATTATTTTTTTCCTGAGGGCCATAGTGGTAGTACAGTGAAAAGGGCATTTCTCTTGCCCTGGCTGACTTGGGTTCGATTCCTGACCTCCCATGTGGTCCCCCAAACCCGCCAGGAGTAACTCCTGAGCACAGAGCCAAGAGTATCCCCTGAATATTGCCAGGTGTGGCCCTAAAACCAAAAAAAGTGAAAGAAAGAAAAAGAAATGTGCTTCATTTGGGTTGTGTAGTTACTTCCGGATGGGGTACTGCCTAGTTCTCAATAACCATACCCTTTGCTATTGACATTTAAAAAAAATGTATTTTAGGTACCATGGTTTTAAAGACCCTTTCTTGGTAGGGTTTCATAGACAGTATGTTCCGTCAGTGTCCACTTCCCACTACCATTGACCCTTTTCTCTCCCCCACTGCCCCTGCCCCACTCCCCATCCCTCCTCTCCCCATGTTAAACTTCCTATTGAAGACCAGCTCTCAGTTTCTATAACCTTTGGGCATTTGTTGTTTCCCTACTGTGTCACTTTATATCCCTCCCAAAGTATGAGAGAGACTGTTCTGTATCTGTCCCTTTCCTAACTTCACTCAGTGATACTCTCCATATCCATCCACATTGGAGCAGATTGCATGATTTCATCTGCTGTTGCAAAATCATCTACCTCAAGACATGCAGGAAAATAAATGCTCAAAGGTTACCAAAGGTTTTAGGGTGACCTTTCACTTTAAGAACACTTGAGGTGGGCAGAGAGATAGTACAGCAGCAAGAGGGTTGCCTTGCACACGGCTGACTGGGTTTGATCCCGGGCATCCCTATGGTCCCCCAAGTACAGCCAGGAAAGACTCCTGAGTGCAGAGCCAGGGCTAACCCTTGAGCATCACTGTGTATGCACCACCCAAAAAAAGAATGCCACTAAGACAGAAAAACATGGGAGAATTACCGGCCAGCCAAATAAGCAGAAGAAAAGAGTAACTGCTCCTTGAGAACCCGTTATTAGAAGATAGAATGGAAGGTGCGACCCAGGGTGGGGCTGAGAGATAACTGTCTATAAGACACACCAGATGATAGTCATTAACAGTTTCACTGGGTGGTGAAGGCAGAGCCAGGGAGCAAAGGACCTTTAAACGTTATCTCCTGCAGTAAAAATCAGGATAGTAGTGAGTGAAGTTAGGTCACGGTGAGGCCGTCTCTCAGTTCATTGATGCTGCGGCTTTTGGTTCTGCCCCTGTGTCCAGGAAGGTCTGAGCCTCTGATTCTCTGTGCGGGGAAACCTGCTATTTGGCGTTCTTGGGATTCGCCAGAACTCTGACCCGGCTCTAACTTACTATTCCCAATTCTAACTGTTTCCTACATGCGGAAAGGCTGGGGATGTGAGTGTTGGCTGGACACAGATGAGTGAGTGTCTGCGCCGCTCCAGGCAGGGCTGTGGACACCTGGAGAGACCAGGAAGCTCCACAGCGCCAGTTCCTCCAGAGCTGACACGGCAGGGAGGAACAGAGAGAAGAAACAGATCGTGTATCTAATACTCCAAAGAAGAATGTGGCAGGGAAGATAGTTCTCAGAATGGGACTGCAGTTTATTTATTTCATTATTTACTTAGATTTGGGGGGGGGGGGAGAGGCACACCTGGCAATGCTCAGAGGTTACTCCTGGCTCTGTGCTCAAGGATCACTCCCGAAGGGGCTAAGGGTACCATATGTAATGATGGGGTTTGAATCCAGGTTGTTCTCATGCAAGGCAAGTGCCCTACCCATTGCAATCTCTCTCTGATCCAGGACTGCAGGGTTTGTTATGGGTTTTTTGGAGGGGGCCACACCCACCGGTGCTCAGGTCTTACTCCCGGCTCTGCACCCAGGAATCACTCTTGGCTGCCTTGGGGGACCATATGGGAAGCCAAAGTTTAAACCTGGGTAGGCCCCGTGCAGGCAGGTGCCCTCCCTGCTGGACTATCTCTCCTGCTCCAGGACTACAGTTTTAAATGAACAGAGAAGGCGTTGTTTCAAGGTGACCTTTGAACATAAGGAAGCAAGGGAGTGATCCCTGTGGAAGAGTGTTTCAGTCCAAAGGAAAGGCAAGTGCAAAGGCTCGGAGGCAGGAGAATGCTGGGCAGGTTTGTGGAAAGGCAAGAAGGGCGGTCAGCAGAATGGTGCGTTCAGGATAGCAGCCATCAACCCAGGTGGTTGACTGAGGACTTGAAAAGTGCCTCATTTGAGGGGGCAGAGAGAGAATACAGTAGGTAGGGCCCTCGCCTTGCATGCACCTTACTCGGGTTTGATCCCTGCTATCCCAGATGGTTCCCTAAGCCCACCAGGAATGGTACCCAAATGCAGAGCCAGGAGAAAACTCCGGTGCATCACTGGGTAAGTCCCAAAAAACAAAACCGTTTTTTTTTTTCTTTCTTGGATCATTTTGGATCATGCCTAGCTGTGCTTGAGACTTTCTCCTGGCTCTCACCTGGTGCTTCTTATTCTGCTTAAGTAGACTTTTTTTTTTTTTAACTGAAATGGGAAATATGTATTTTCTGGTTCATGTATTTCAACTATTTTGTGAAAGAATTTGGAAATTTCAAATTTAATCATTGACTAGTTAGGGTCATAAACATTCTTCTTTTTTTCCCCCTGTAAACATGACTCCTTTTGTGCCACACCCAGCAGTGCTCAGGGCTTACTCCTGGCGGTGCTCAGGGGACCATATGAGGTGCCAGACTCAAACTCAGGTTGGCTGCCTGCAAGGCAAACGTCTTACCCTCTGCGTTATCTCTCCAGCCCGTAAGCATTGCTGCTTAATAGTGAAAGGAAAGTAAGAGCACAAACACTAATGGAGAAGGGTACTCAGACTTGTAAAAGTAAAGTGACAGTAAGCATCAATAGTCTGTGACATTAATACCCTCTTTGACCATGTAAACAGAAAGACCATATGGATGGCTAAAAAAGGATTAAAAATATGCCTGCAAGAATAACAGGGTTCTACTTATCTTCCTAAAGAGCAGACTATATAGTCATAATAATAATCTGCCATCAAACTTGGTTCCTCAGTTTGTTTATAGTAAAGCGAGAAAAAACAGTGGTGACGCACTGGCCTCAGACCCCACTGGCCTGCAGTGTCATCTCTGCCTTGGCTTTTTTTTTTTTGCTTTTTTTTTTTGGGGGGGGGGGGGTCACATCCGGCAATGCACAGGGGTTACTCCTGACTCTGCACTCAGAAGTTACTCCTGGCGGTGCTCAGGGGACCATATGGGATGCTGGGAATTGAACCCGAGTCGGCCGCGTGCAAGACAAATGCCCTGCCCGCTGTGCTGTCTCTCCAGCCCCCAGCCTTGGCTTTTTATAACTGGTTGCATTTCTACTTAATTTCCTGATTTAGTTTGGTAGAAAGGAATCTTTGGGGACTTTATGACATATGTAAGGGTGTTATCTTCCTTTTTTGTTTTTGTTTTGGGGCCATACCCAGAGGTTCTCAAGTCTTAACTCCTGGCTGTATTCTCAGGGGTCACTTTTGGCAGTGCTCAGGGGACCATGGGGGGTACCGGGGATCAAACCTGGGTGGACTGTGTGCAAGGCAAGTACCCTACCCACTGTCTAGCCCAGGTATTAATCTTTTTAAAATTTTTTTGAAGGTGCAGGGAAGGGGGCATGGCACGAGCGATGGTGCTCAGCGGTTACTTCTGTCTCTGCACCCAGGAATTACTCCTGGTGGTGCATATGAGATGCCAGGGATCGAACTGGGTAGGCCTGGTTGGCAAAAGCTATACCTTCTGGACTATCGCCCTGATCCCCCTAGAAGGTGTTACATCTTCTTCGTGTATGAACTATGGTTCTTAAAATAATGCAGTGTCAGCGCCAGAGAGATCAGATGGGAGTTAGGACACTTGTCTTGCATACGGCTGCCCCGGGTTCAGTCCTTGGCACCATATATGGTCTCCTGAGCACCTTCCGGACTAACCACCGCACACACCTGGGCACGCCCTCAGAATAAATAATGAAGACAATAATGTAATATTTTTGATTAGCTTTCATGAGAAACTTGTCCTTTGGATCCAAAGAGGAAAACCAAATCTTGCTAAAGAAAGGCATAAGCTTGGACTTTTGATCAGAGTATTTGTACTATTTTTTTCTTTCTTTTTCTTTTTTTTAGTGAAGTTAAAATCGTTTTTATTGAACAAAACTTGCTTAGAAAGATGTGACAGGAGAGAAAGAGAGGAAATTTGTGCTTAATAAAGAACTCAGGCTTCACCAGATGAGGGGGAGGGACAGGGGGAGGGGGCAGGAAGCCAGCAAAGAAACAGGCAAGTGAGATGTGTGTTCGGGTGAGAGCCCGGGCTTGAAGAGCAAACCTAAGTCCTACTCTGACCCGTTCCTGTTTAGGAATTAGTATTGACGTTAAGAAGCAGGAGGCGATGTAGTCTCTCTTTGAGTTAAGCCCATTCACATCTCAGATCTCCTCCCCACAGGGTGCACGCTGTGTGACCGAGCCTACCCGTCAGACTGTCCTGAGCACGGGCCCGTGACCTTCATTCCCGACACTCCGATCGAGAGCAGAGCGAGGCTGTCTCTCCCGAAGCAGCTCGTTCTCCGCCAGTCAATTGTAGGCGCAGATGTTGGTAAGAACCTCCGAGTCATAAGGTCCCATCTGCGTCAAGTTGAAGACCTCATGGGGCGTATCCCACTCCTTGAAAACAGAGTCAAGGAGAGGATCCTGGTTGGAGTCTTTGCAGACTTGACCTTCAGGGGCTGGAGCGATAGGACAGCAGGTAGGGTGCTTGCCTAGCACGCGGCCGACCTGGGTTCGATTCCCAGCATCCCATATGGTCCCTGAGCACTGCCTGGTGCATCCCCAAACCAGAACCAACAGCAACAGAATAAGACGTTTATTCTTAGCTCTGTTATTCACGAATAACTACCATGGCAAAATGCTTCTTGGAATTTAGTTTCTTTTATAGAGGTGTGAAAATTTCCCTACTGAAAACCTCATCACAAAAGATGGAATGCTTGTAACATTATTAATACTCCTTAGGAAAAAGGGATAAGAAATGAGACTTTGAGAGTATGACGTAGCTGTAGTTGAATTGACTGTGGTTTCTGAATTCCTCCACTACTTTGAAAAATACCAAACCAGGTTCATTATATCAGCAGTGATCTAGTTTTGAATCTTCTGCAAGCATTAAACAGTTTGGATTCAGTGGATCAGTTCTTTGTTTACAAACTTTTGTGAAAGTCTTAGTTTGTGATGGTTGCTTTCCTTTTTTTAATTTTTTTTGTTTTGTTCTTGGGCCATTCTTGGTGGGTTTTTGGGGAGCCCAAAGAGCAAACCTGGGGCTCTTGCGTGCATAACATATGTTCTAGCTCTTTGAGCTGTGTTCCCAGCCCCATTTATTTTTTCTGTCTTTCTTTTTGATCCACACCTGGCGTGTGTACCCACATGGCAGGCATGGCTTCTTGTCCTTGGAGCCATCCCCACCCCTTCCCTGCTTTTTTTTTTTTTTAAGCAGGAGTTTGGGGGAGATTCTCCAGCAGTGCTCCGGGGGCCTCTCCCCATGGTACATGGCCTCTTAAGACAGGCAGCTTCAGGCTAGAGCCTTGAAGCAGAGCTGCATGGGACCAGTAGGAATTATTGGGCCCTTTCCCAAGGTGCTAGGAGCCTCCAGGGTCTCACCTGAAGTGCTTGAGGTGCCAGGATTTGAACTCAGGTCCTGGCACATGCAAACCATTCATCCCTGATCACTGGGATATCTCCTCGGCCCCTGCTTTACTTTGTTTGTGGGCCACACTCATCGGTACTCCGGGCTGACTGCCCGTGGCTCTGTGCTTAGGGATCAATCCTGGTGGCACTCTGGAGACCCTGTGGGGTGTCGGGGATTGAACCCAGGTCGACCCTGTGCAAGAAAAATGCCCGACTTACCGTGATAGCATTCTGGCCCCTGACCTTGCTTTACATTTTTATACTGGAGTAATGCTCTGTTTACTTTGTGTATTGTGTAGACGTTACTGGGCCCGCTCGAGCAAATCGACGATCAACGGGAGGGCCTTTACCTTTACCTTTTACTTTGTGTATTAACTCTAAGACAACATTTGGAGGGAAACCAGTGGTCTGGTTCCTTGTATTCCCTCAACCCTTCTAGGTTCAGGAATTTCTGATACTGCTTCTTCTGAGCCCTGTTCCATTTTCCATATTGACAGGGTAGAATCCGTAAGATGGAGCTACATGTCAGGGGTGCTAGAATATCACTAGTTCTTAGGTTCACTGACAGTAAAATCCTTTGCCTGCGTTCAAGCTCCTCTCTGTTCTCTGTTGTACCAAGTATTTACGTCATTGACCAGGTCGTTGGTGTCCTTCCACCGGCAGGTGTGTGGACGGGAGAGACCATTCCAGTGCGAACGTGCTTTGGGCCTCTCATCGGCCAGCAGAGCCACTCCATGGAAGTAGCCGAGTGGACGGATAAGGCAGTCAATCATATCTGGAAGGTCAGTGTAAATGGAACTTCTCTATGATTTTGGAATAGGATTTTTGTTGGGGGTTGTTTTGGGGACACACCTGGTGAGGCTCAGAGCCTACTCCTGGGTATGTGCTTAGAGATCACTCACTCCTGGTGGGCACAAGGGACCACATGGGATGCCAGGGATCCAATTTGGTCAGGTGTTCGTGCCGCTTCCCAGCTGGCCCCAGTAGACAGTCATTTCCCTTCTGTTGGCAGATCTACCACAATGGAGTTCTAGAATTCTGCATCATCACAACTGACGAAAATGAATGTAATTGGATGATGTTTGTGCGCAAAGCCAGGTAAGGGTAGTTTTATGAGAGTCGTTTTCAGTAATAAAAAGTGTGTGTGTGCGTGTCTGTTTGTCTGTCTGTTTTTGGACACCCCCATGATGCTGAGGCTGTTCCCAGCACATTGCTCAGAGATCTCTGCAGTGCCAGGGTCAGGCCACTCCTCCTGCATGCCAGCTGTGCACAGAGGGCTGCGAGCCCAGCCCTTGGACCTTCTCCTGACTCAGGAAGTAGTTGGGGTTTTTGTTTATATTTTAGTGGGGCTCAGGGATTGGTTTCTGAAGCAGTGGTCAAGGGCTTAGGGCCACTCCTGGCAGCAGTTGGCCTGGCAATTTTAGGGCCCAACAATGCTAGGGGTCAGCTGGCCTCCGTGATGCCCAGGGGGCCACCAGAATGGGGATGCTTCGTGCCAAGCCTGTGCTCCAACCCTTCGAGCTTACTTCCTAGGCAGGAAATAGTTTTGATTTAGACGGGTGTTTTTGTTTTTTTGAGCCACACTCAGTGGTGCCCAGAATTTCCTCTTGGCTCTGTGTTCAGGAATCACTTCTGGCAGAGCTCAGGGCGCTCTTAGCATTGCTGGGATTGAACCTGTATCAGCTTCGTGCAAGGCAGGTACCCTACCTGTTCTACTCTCTCTTTGACCCTGATTGTTTTTTATTATGAAAATGCCCCATTTGGGCCTGGGCAGGGCCTCCTCCAGATGGGTGGGTATTTGCTTTGCTTGTGGCCAACCCAGCTCCGATCCCTGACATCTCATTATGGTCCCCAAAGCACTGCCAGGAGTAATTCCTGAGTGCAGAACCAGGACTGACCCTTGAGCATTGCTGGGAGTGACATAAAAACAAAACAAAAAACAGCCCCTCTTCCCTTCCCCCAAAAGCAAATGGCCACAGAGTATAGTGGTATGTGCCTTTGCATTTAACAATTTTCTCTTGGGGAGAATTATGTGTCTAGGTCATATTTCAGATTCATACGCTTGATCTATTAAACGTAACAATTTAGGAACCGGGAGGAGCAGAACTTGGTGGCTTATCCCCATGATGGAAAAATCTATTTCTGCACTTCACAAGACATCCCTCCTGAAAACGAACTGCTCTTCTATTACAGCCGGGATTATGCGCAGCAAATCGGTAAGTCCACCTGAGACTTGGGGGTTAGTGCCTAGCATGCCAACCACATTCCTGTGTGTATATAAGGCTGGGGTAGTTGTGTGTGTGTGTGTGTGTGTGTGTGTGTGTGTGTGTGTAAGGATGGGGTAGTTCCGTGTGTGTGTGTGTGTGTGTATGTGTGTGTTGGGTTTGGGAGCCATACCTACCTGGTGGTGTTCAGAGATCACTCCCACTGGTGCTAAGAGGATCTCGCCATGTTGGGCATTGAACCCAGGCTTCTTCAGTGATCATTTCCAGCTATTAATGTCATACTGGTCCCTTCTCTTATCTTACCTACCCTCTTCCCACATACACTTGTGGTAGATTCCAACTGTTGACCAGTCCTCCTAGCCCCTGAGAACAACATATTTTTAAGTGACAAAAATATGAAGACAATTAAAAGAAACAGGCTGAAGAGCTAGTACAGGGGCTGAAGGGCTTGTCTCAGGTAGTTTTATCCCCAATGCTGTGTTTTGGTCCCCGTAGCTTCACCTTGAATAAGCTGTGAGCACAGTTGGGCCTGGCCCGGAAACCAAAAGCTGAATATGAACTTCTTCTTCTTCTTCTTTTTAAATTTTGGTTTTGGTGCCCACAGCTGGTGGTGTGCAGGACTTACTCCCAGCTCTGTGCTTAAGAGACTGTATGGTGCAAGGAATTGAACCCAGGTTGGCCACATGGAAGATGAGCACCTTATTTCTCTGGCCCCAAGAATATGAACCTCTGAGTTAGAACTTTGATTTAGGGAACCTGGAGTGCAATTTGAGTACGTAAAAGAAAATCTCATTAACCAGATTTAATTTTCATAGCCTTTCTTTGCACTGTCAAAGTAAGTTTGACAGGCAATATTTGAGAATTGGCAGGGGGGTTGGGGGGGTTGTTTTCTTGGAGAGAGGTTTAGGATGCACCTGATGGTGCAAAGGGGCTCCTCCTGGCTCTGCTTCTAAGGGACCCCTGGTGGTGTCTCAGGGACCATACGCAATGCTGGGGATTGAACTGGGTTGGCTGTATGCAAGGTAAATGCCAGACCCCTGTACTATTGTTCCAGTCTACACGCTTGAGTTTGTATGTGCTGCTAAATGATATATATTTTAGTATAGGATTGGGTGCCTTATGTTTTAGTATTATCAAGGGATTCCTGTATCCCAGGAACACGATTTTAGGTGAAATCGAGATAGACATTTGAATTTTACAAGTAGTGGGCTAACTGGAAATTTGGGGGGAAGGGAGAATTCTTAGCAACATTTAGTATCAAGAACAAGGTTTTAAGTTTTAAGTATCAGGACACAATGAGTGATTTGGGGGGCCGGGGGGGTGGTTTGGGTCTCGGGGACCCTTTCTAGCTCTGTGCCTAGGGCTGATCCCTGGTGGTGCTTGGGAGTAGATGCTGGGCTGGGGTTCGACCAGGATTACTGAAGTAACTGTGTATAAGGCCAGTGCCTCATCTCCTGAATGTCTCCCTGGTCCTTGTGGAGTGATCTCATTCCTTCCTTTGAAGGTGTCCCTGAGCACCCGGACGTGCACCTCTGTAACTGCGGCAAGGAGTGCAGTTCCTACGCGGAATTCAAAGCCCACCTGACGAGCCACATCCACAGCCATCTTCCCAGCCAGGGCCACGGCAGTGGCCACGGGCCCAGCCACGGCAAGGAAAGGAAGTGGAAGTGCTCCATGTGCCCCCAGGCGTTTATCTCCCCGTCTAAACTGCACGTCCACTTTATGGGCCACATGGGCATGAAGCCCCATAAGTGCGACTTCTGTAGCAAGGCCTTCAGCGATCCCAGCAACCTGCGGACCCACCTCAAGATCCACACGGGTGAGTTGTACTAGACCAGCAACACGCGACATTTGACAGTGAGACACTGCAGTCGGAAAGACTCTGCAGCGAGGCAGTCATAAGGACAGACTTGGAAAACGTGTCCCACAAACGAGCCGAGCTGGCTGTCAGCGGGGCTTCCCAGGGCAGCAGCATGTGGGCACTGCCCTTCCGTAGCAGGCCCTGCTGCCGTCACGGAGACCCTCTGCTCTGTGGGTGCCCACATCACAGTGTGACAGTGAGGGGGAAAGTGCAAAAGTGCAGTTACAATGGAAGATTTCAATTAATACCAAAAAGGGGGGAAAAAAGGAAAAATAAAGGGGGGATACTTGGAGCGATAGCACAGTGGGTAGGGCATTTGCCTTGCATGTGGCCAACCCGAGTTCAATTTCCAGCATCCCATATGGTCTCCCAAGCACCGCCAGGAGTGATTCCTGGGTGCATGAGCCAGGAGTAACCCCTGTGAATTGTCAGGTATGATTCCCCACCCCTCCCCACCAAAAAAACAAAAAACAAAAAAAGAAGAAGAAATGGGGCCAGATAGATAGTAGGGCAGGCACAGTCAGACGTAGGTTTGATCCCCAGCACCCCATCTGTTACCCCAGCCCGCCAAGAGTGATTCCTGAGCACGTGGCCAGGAGGAAGTGCTGAACACTGCCAAGTGTGGCCCCCGAACCGAACCAGAACAGAAACTGGCTTGGGGTGTATTTGGTCTGCAGGAGGAGCCCATTTCCCTCCCCCGAGCTGGTGGACACCGCTGGCATCTGTGTCTTGGACTTCTGTTTCCTAAGCTCCATGCAAGTCCACTTTCTTACTGAGTCAGAGTCTCCCCAGCAGTGCTGGGGATTTGGGGGCCATGCCTGGTGGTGTTTCTGGTGTTGCCCAGGCCTGTTGGTGCTGGGGGCTTCCAGGACCGTACATGTGGTGAGGGGGATTGAACTTGGGCCCCTGGCATGGAAGGCATGTGCGTCAGCCCTCTGGACTCTCTCCCCAGCCTCATAAACCAAACCCTTTACCCCCACCCCAGACATACTATGAAGTAACTAGCACTGTCCTCCCGTTGTTCATTGATTTGCTCGAGCGGGCCCAGTAACGTCTCCATTGTGAGACTTGTTACTGTGTTTGGCGTATCAAATACATCACGGGTAGCTTGCCAGCCTCTGCTGTATGGGCGAGATTCTCTCAGTAGCTTGCTGGGCTCTCTGAGAGGGGCAGAGGAATCGAACCTGGGTTGGCCAGCTCACTGCGTGCAAAGCAAATGCCCTACCCGCTGTGCTATCACTCCAGCCCAATGAAGTAACTGATGTTTCATTTTTCTTGTGTTTTCTTTTTGGGCTGCACCTGGAGCCACTCGGGAATCACTCCTGGTGGGGGTCAAAGGACTATTGGGGTGTCAGATTTGCCTCATGCAAAGCAAGCAGCCACCTCACCTGCAGTATTTTTTTTTGTTTGTTTTTAATTTTTATTAGTGAGACACCATGAGGTACAATTGTAGACTTACAAATTTTTGTGCTTGGGTTTCAATTATACAATGATCAAGTACCCATTCCTCCACCAGTGCCCATTTCCCACCACCACGGATCCCAGTATCCCTCCCACCCCCCATCCTCCCCATCCCACCCTGCCTCTGTGGCAGGGCATTCCCCCTTTTTTTTTTTTCCATTTTTTATAGTTTTATTTATTGAATCACCGTGAGAGCAGTTACAAAGCTTTTGGGTCTAAGTCTCAGTCATACAATGAAACACCCATACCTTCACAGTGCCCATTCTCCACCACCAAAAACCCCAGTATACCCCCATCCCACACCCTCCCCCTGCCTTTGGGGCAGATGATTTCCACATTACTCTCTCTCTACTTTGATCACATTCACTATTTCGACACCAGACCCACCATTATTTGAGATTTTACCCCAACACTCAGATCTGCTGAAAAGGCAGCAATAGACAATTTGTGTTCTATTGCTGGTTATGAATAACATATGATGTCACATGGCTGCAGTAGGGCCATGTGGTTTTGAAATTCCGAAATTTTAACACTTAAATCTGGAGGGATTTCTGCCAAAAACTACTGGGTTTCGAGATCTGCTCCTGAGTCTCTGGGATCATGGCCGTTGAGCAGCTTGATGAGGAGCCAGAGAGGCCGTTCGTGGGCGATGACTTGGGGTCTCCTTGGGGTGGGGAGGACAGGCCCGGCTCCCCCCTCCCGCCATCCCGTGAGGCCCAACAAGTTTCGTCACTGCAGGTAGGGCATTCCCTTTTGTTCTCTCTCTCCTTTTGAGTGTTGTGGTTTGCAAAAGAGGCAATGAGTGGCAATCATGTTTGGTCTATAGTCTACTTTCAGCATGCTTCTCCCATCCTGGGAAGATCCTCCCAACACCCTTTATTTGGTGCTCCCTTCTCTATCTGAGCTCCCTTTTCCCCCAGCATGTGTGGCTCGCCTCCAAGCCATGGAGCAAAATTCCTGGTACTAACCTCGGCCATTCTTGGGTGTTAGTCTCCTATTTTGTTACTTTATGTTCCCCAGATGAATGCAATATTTCTATGTCTATCCCTCTCTTTCTGACTCATTCCGCTTAACGTGGTACTTTCCATGTAGTGCCACTTGTATGTAAATTTCATGACTTCATTTTTTAAAAAATTACTTATTTATTTATTGAATCACTATGGGAAAAGTTACAAAGCTTTCAGGTTTAGGTCTCGGTCATGCAAATATCAAACACATTTCCCTTTACCAATACTTATTTTTCACCACGAAGAACCCCAATAAACCCCCACCCCTCACCCCTCCCAATGCCTGTGAGGCAGATGAATTATAGTTAACATTCTATCTACTTTGACTAGATTCATTGTTTCGATAAAAGATGCACCATTATTATTTAGAGTTTACAACCTCAAATCAGACATGCTGAAAAAGCATTGTGAAATGATTTGCTTTCTACAGCTGTGTTCAAGAATTAAATGATATTGCGGTCGCGCGGTTTTGGATTTCTGCTATTTTACTTATTAACCCTGGAAGTATTTCTACTGAGAGTCAGATAATTAAGGGATTGGTTTCTGTGCTCTGGAGCCATGGCCGTGCCGGAGAGCCGCTCGTGGGGGGCAACTGGTGACCTTGGTAGGGCGTGAAGGACGAGCCAGGAACGCCCCCCCCCCCCCCCTTCCCGTGAGGTTTTAGTCGCCCCATCACCACCGGCTCATACCTGGCTTTCCACAAAGCTCCCAAGCGGCTGCCATCTTTCTTTCCAGAGGGATGACTTCATTTTTTCTAATAGCTACACAGTACTCCATTGGGTAAATGTACCAAAGTTTCTTTAACCAGTCACCTGGTTCTCGGGCACTCAGGTTTTTTCCAGATTCTGGCTATTGTAAAGAGTGCTGCAGTGAACAGACAATTGCAGATGCCACTTCGACTATACTTTTTTGCCTCTCTGGGATATATTCCCAGGAGTTCACCTGCAGTTTTTCTATCTCTCCAACCTTATTTTATTTTGGGTTTGGGGGCCACACCCAGTGGTGCTCAGGGTTTACTCCTGGCTCTGTACTTAGGGATCATTCCTGACAGGCTCAGGGAACCTTTTGGGGTGCCAGGGATTGAACGTGGGTCAGCCTCAGGCCTGGGGAATGCCCTACCCGCTGTACTATCTCGGGCCCCTGTTTTATTTATTTATTTATTTGATTGGATCATTTCCCTAATTTTACTCAACTGTTTTTTATTAAAATTGAGTAGTTGCATCCGCAACCATATGGCTCACAAAGGTTATGGTGTTGGCGAGCCTTTTAAAACTGTTGGGAGAGATAATCTAGGAGGTAAGGTGCTTTCCTTCATGGGAACAACACCGGTTCACACCCCAGTCACCCCTCAGGCAGAGCCAGCTGAGCACTGAACCTCCGAATCTGCAAAGACAGGCCTAATGCACTGGGCTTGCCCCGGCCTCCTGCTGCTATAAGGAACTCCACCCTCTTATCTCAGTCAAAGGGAAAGATTCACCAACCCTTGACTTTAAGTACTACACATTCTTAGGTCTTGTTTCACCCCCACCTGTGAGGCTGTTAAGTTTGAAGAAGAAAGTGAGAAAGCTGCAAGAAGTGAAGTAAGTAAAGGCCCTCCCGTTGTTCATCGATTTGCTCGAGCCCCAGTAACGTCTCCATTGGAGATTTTGTTGTTACTGTGTTTGGCATATCGAATACGTCACAGGTGGCTTGCCAGGCTCTGCCCCGCAGGCGAGATACTCTCAGTAGCTTGCCGGGCTCTCCGAGAGGGGTGGAGGAATCGAACTCGGGTCGGCCATGTTGGCTGCATGCAAGGCAAACGCCCTACCCCTATGCTATCGCTCCAGCCCTGCAAGAAGTAGGTCGTAAAATATCTTCACCACAGATGAGTATTTGAATTCACAGGGTAGGTTTGCAGTGACTGTTTAAAAATTTAAAAATCATAGCCATGGGGCTGGAGCAATAGCACAGTGGGTAGGGCGTTTGCCTTGCACGTGGCCGATCGAAGTTCGATTCCCAGCATCCCATATGGTCCCCTGAGCAATGCCAGGAGTAATTCCTGAGTGCAGAACCAGGGCTAACCCCTGTGCAGAGCCAGATGTGACCCAAAAAGAAAAAAAAATTCATAGCCATAAGTGACTTAAATATTTTGTGTCTGCCGTAGACATTCTAAGCATATTTCAGGTAGTGGTTCTCGGAGGTCCCGCGTGTCAGCTTCACGAGCTTTGGTTGTAGAGTATGAACCCCTTTGCTCGGAGTGGCAGCGGACAGGCCTTGAAAGGAACGTCTGGTGACCAGTCACCTGTTCCAGCCCCTTCTTCCCATGTGCCTGGGCACACGCCTGGCCATGCGCACTCTGCACCAGAGCCTGTGCGTGTTCTCACGGTGCCTCGCTCCCGTGCAGGTCAGAAGAACTACAGGTGCGCCCTGTGCGACAAGTCCTTCACCCAGAAGGCCCACCTGGAGTCCCACATGGTCATCCACACGGGCGAGAAGAACCTCAAGTGTGACTACTGCGACAAGCTCTTCATGCGGCGCCAGGACCTCAAGCAGCACGTGCTCACCCACACACAGTGAGTGCCCCGAGTCAAGCCCCCTACCCCCTAAACTCACCCTCACATAGTGAGTGCCCCTGGCCAGTCCAAGGCCCCTCCCCAGCAATCTCTCCCACACACAGTGAGGGACCCCCGCCCAGGCCAGACCCCCCCCCCCCTCCATGCTTACCCACACACAGTGAGAGTCCCCCAGCAAGGTCGAGCCCCTACCCATGTGCCCACTCATATACAGTGAGTGACCCCCGGCCAGGCCGACCCCCCTGCACCCTATGCATATGCTCCCTTTTGTTTTGCGGTGCTCAGTGGTGACCCCTGGAGGGGCTCAGGGGACCGTGCGCGGTGCCGGGGATGGAATCCCGCCTCATGCAAGACTCCCCGCTGTCCTGTTGCTCAGCTCCTGGACACAGACACACAGATGTGCACTGCCGCTGTCCATGGTGGCCAGAGGGACTCATCTGATACATCGGTCCCATTGTGCCCTTCTCCCGTGGCTCACTATCGTAGCCAGCCACCCTCCATGGTAGGGAGAGGCACTCGGCGGCCTCTCCTGTTCAGCTTGGCCTCTTCTCCTCTCACACTGCCCTGCACACACTGGCCTTGCTAATACTTCAGTATACTAAATGCACTCTCCTTTTAGGGCTTTGCCTTTGCCTGGAGTGTCGCCTAGGTCACCCCTCACTTAGTTCCCCACATCCTAGAGTGTCCCAGAACCCTTCGGAGCTGATGCCTGTGGGAGAAGGTGGTAGGATTGCCCTGGAAGCCAAGTATCACAGCTCCCCGCCATATCCAACTTTGTCAAGGATCGTGAGTCCTCGTAACTGGCGTTATATATCAGCCTTTCACTAACCAGCTTGGAGAGGATTCAACCGCCCAGTGAAAGATTTTAAAAATTCTTGATCTGTATGGTCCCTGAGGTTCTTTCGGCCAAGGTTACTCAGCCCTTGACACTACTGATCTTGTGAGCTGTAGAGTTTTGTTATTGTGAGGAATACTATTCTACACTACCATGCTGGTCAAAAACATTTCAAATTTAGGTTCTTCTAGTTGTTGGTGAGTATGTGGCACAGTGAGAACGCCAGTGGCTGTTGGTGGTCATGGATTGATGTAGCTGCAATGGAAAGCAGACAACAGTTGGGCATTATCTGGCAAAGTTGTAGATGATCTTTGATCGAAGTGGACATCCTTTGATCTACTTATATGGTGCCTATGTTGAGGGTGTGTATGCAAACCAGCCGGCAAGTATGGAAGTTTTATAAGCCAACCATTAGCAATAGACAAGTCCAGTATTAAGGATAAGTCATTTCTAAGTAGTATACTGAAGTGAGAGGGAGCAAACTATTAATACTTGTTTGCGGTTTCACTTAATTTTACTAACAATGAAAGAAGCAAAATACAAAAGATGCAGTTTGATTTCATTTTACATAGAATTCCAAAATGGGCAAATCAATCTGTCACTTATTTATTATCACTATTGCTTTTTGGCCATACCCAGTGATGCTTAAGGGTTATTCCTTGGGTCTTGCACTCAGGAATTACTCCTGACAGTGCTCAAGGGACCATATGGGATGCTGGGGATTGAACCCCTGTGGGCCGCATGCAAGGCAAATGTCCTACCCACTGCACTATCGCTCCGGCCCCTCTGTTATTGCTGATGTTTATGGTGCTTCTCTGTGATAGGCCTTAGTCTGATTCTGGACAGATCGAGAAAGTCTCTGTCAAGCGAAGAGTGTGCCCCTCAGTTGTCATTGGCAGCCCCAAATCAGATGCCTTTTCTTTTGTTTCCCTCAGAGAACGCCAGATCAAGTGTCCCAAGTGTGATAAACTGTTCTTGAGAACAAATCACTTAAAGAAACATCTCAATTCACACGAAGGAAAACGGGATTATGTCTGTGAAAAATGTACAAAGGCTTATCTAACCAAATATCATCTCACTCGCCATCTGAAAACCTGCAAAGGACCCACCTCCAGTTCCTCGGCCCAAGAGGAAGAGGAGGAGGAGGACTCTGAGGAAGAAGAACTGACGGACCCCGTGGGGGCGGGAGACTGTCGGGTCAGCAGCGCCGTGTATGCAGACGAGCCTCTCTCTGCACGGAAATGAAACCAAGAAGGAGACTTCTTTTGGGTGGAGAAGACAAAAGGAGCAACACATGTAACCAGTTATCCACTACAGTGATTTTTCTATAAAATGGTTTCCCGTTTCCTTCCAGCCAGCCATCAGCAGCCTGCACAGGAATGGATAAAGCACTTACTGCGGAGTAGCCTCATGAAGACACTTTAGAACAGGCGGGGGGTAGAGAGAGCGTGTGTCCTGTGGTTGGTCTTGTCTGGGGAGGAGAGTGTCTGCCTTTGGTGTCTGTTCTTCATTTACACGGTTATCTGCCGCCGGGTCAGACTCACCAGCTTTATTGCAGCTTCGTCTTTTTTCCTCACTGCCCTTTGACTTGGTAGCACTCGTAAGCTGGGTCCTGGCCTCACAGACGTTCTTTCTGATTCCTGTTTTGTGTTTTTGTGTTTTGTTTTTGCGCACGAGTGTGACTTAGACTCCACCCAGAACGTACTTGGAAGCCAGCAGTGTGAGCTCGGTACTGGGTGGCTCACACGTTTTAAGCACTGTCTTAACTCACCCTGGGAGTGTAGGGTAGGTCTTGCTTCCCCAGACTCCAGGTGTCTAAAGGCCCACACAGAAGAGCCCCCAAGATCGGACCCTGCGTAGGCAGTAGACCAACATTATGGATAAAAGAAGGGGGGAGGTATTTGGCCCACTTTCGACAAACACGCTTTGGTGGAAGCCAACCTGAATTGCCGGGAGATCCGTAGAGGTCCATGTAGGTTTAGATACTTCTGCTCCAGTAAGCCTCCAGCTCCTGGACAAAGGACCCTGGGGTCCAGTCCGCCATGTAATGCCAGTAAGGTTCTCTTGACAAGCACATTCGTGGACTCAGCTGACAGAGGAAGGAAGGAGCTAACGACCCCCCCAGTTTGTGGCACACCTATGAAAAGTCAAAGACACCATTGAATTGTTGGCTCTAACGTGTCGCTGTAGTTGCTAGGGTAGACACCCCCGCCTTTCCCACCCCCACCCCCACCCCCATCCCAGTTGTCTGTGGTGAAGGATCTCTGGATGCTAAGGGATTTGGAACGTCTAGACTGCTGACTGGTTGCCACGTGGATGTGTTTTCAGGGACTTCATCTCCCTCTGTCTTACACACACACACGCACACACACACTTCCAGCAAGAAGCCAGCTCATGTCTGTTGGGGATGTGTGGGACGCACTCCTGTTCTAAGGCACCACCTCCGGGCTGGAGTAGGGATGGCTGGTGGGAAGGTTTGCTGCTAATGTATTTATGGAATGAATGGATTTCATTCAAATCTGTATTCCTCTAGGAAGAATTAAAAATGAGAAACTTTTTTTAAAAAAAAATAAAGGCTCCCTCCAGTAATCTCATTTGTGGAGGAAGAAGATGGGTGCATTTGAGGTAAAAAAAAAAAAAAAAAGCCGAGCTGAAGTGGTTCTGAAGTTTCAAAGTGGAGAAAGCACTTCCCCGAGTAGGGCGGCTCTGGGGTCCTCCTGGGATGTGGTTCTGTGTAATGGAGGTTTGGCACGCTGTTTCCTGTCCGCGGTTCTGGGGGCCTAGCAGGTCTGCAGAGGAGAAAGGAGGGAATGGAGCACTGTGGATGGTTGGGGGAGCCGTGAAGCATGGGCCGTGATGTGTCCTTCATAGCAGCTCTGGTGGGATTCCTGCTATGGTGGACACCAGCCTCCCCGTACACAGGAAATGGCTGAATGTGGAACTCCGAGCTTCTTCCTCCCACCCCAGTCCTGCCGTGGGGTGCTGGGAATTAAGCCTGGGGCCTCATGCATGCAAGGTTTGTATTCAGCAGTTGTATTCGCTCCTGCTGGGTAGGTTCCTTTCTCAGCTGGTAGGACTGTAGGGCTGCTCAAGAGGGGCCTTCAGGGCTGGAGAGAGGCCCCAGGCTGGAGTGTGCTTGGTGTGCGCCCCAGCCCTGTCTGCTGTCAAAAGGTCGATGTCATCTCGCTGTGCGGGGAGCAGTCTGTTGTCGGGTAGAATTAGATCTTGGTGCCAGAAATATAGTGCAGCAGCTAAGGCGTTTGCCTTGCATGTGGTCAAGCCACGTTCAATCCCTGTTACCCCTGATGGTCTCCTGAGCCCCGCCAGGAGAGGTCCTGGCTCTGCACAGGAGTAAGCCCTGAGCACCACCGGGAGGGGCCCCAAAACAAAAGCCAGAATGATCCTGGACCAGAGAGAGAGAGCTCGATGGGCTGAGCGTATGCTCTGCGTGTAGGGGACCTGGGGTCAAGCCCGGGCACTGGATTGTTCCCTGAGTGCCACCAGATGTGGGCAAAAAAACAGAGAAGGAGGAAAGGTGGAGATACTGGTGGTTACTAGCGTGTGCTCTGGAGTCCTGAGTAGACCGGGCTTCACGACGTGAGGCTAAGTTACATGAAACTAGCAGAGTTATACGAAGAATGGAGTTCCATTTCATAACTTCTTAGGTGTTCCATTGGTTAACTCATATAGAAGTCTGCCCACACAGTGATAATGCCATTAGTGCCTTTCTGTTTCAGATGCGCATTGATTTCTGCCTTAAAAGAGGCTTTTTTGTGTCCTTCCTTCCTTCCTTCCTTCCTTCCTTCCTTCCTTCCTTCCTTCCTTCCTTCCTTCCTTCCTTCCTTCTTTCCTCCCTCCCTCCCTCCCTCCCTCCTGCCTTCCTCCCTTCCTCCCTTCCTCCTTCCCCTTCCCCTTCCCCTTCCCATTCCTTTCCTTTCCTTTCCGGGTCACACCTGGTGATGCACAGGGGTTACTCCTGGCTCATGCACTCGGGAATTACTCCTGGCAGTGCTCAGGGGACCATATGGGATTTTGGGAATTGAACCTGTGTCAGCCGCGTGCAAGGCAGATGCCCTACCTGCTGTGCTATCAATCCACTCCAGCCCCATTAAAGAGACTTTTGAGAGACCAGAATGACAGTACGGTGGTAGGGTGCTTAACCTTGCATGTGGCCAACCTGGGTTTGATCCCCAGAACCTACTATAGCCTCCCCAAGCACTTCCAGGAGTCATTCCTTAGCACAGAGAGAGCCAGGAGTAAGCCCCGAGTACCACCAGATGTGACCCTGAAAACCAAAAAAAAAAAACCCACGAACTCTTCATTTGAGATCAAGACCAAAGTCCAGTACTGGGTTTGTAATGTTCTTTTTGTTTTGTTTTTGGGGGGGCTACACCTGGCAGTGCTCGGGGGTTACTCCTGGCTCTGCACTCATGAATTACTCCAGGAGGTTCCCAGGGGACTGGAGGGGATGCCAGGGATCGAATCAGGGTCAGTCACAAGCAAGGCAAACACCCGCCTCGCTGTAACTATCGCTGTGACCCCTTGTAATATTACAAATCAGTGTCTGGGTGCTGTCGGCTTCCTTAAAGGACAGGTTGCTCATAGCCTCCAGGCATGCATACCAACTGAAGTCCTTGGTTCACCCAGGGTTAAAGGAGTGACAGGAGCTAGACTGTCCTTGGGCCTTTTCAGCCACTTAGCCTTATACACACACTTCCGGTAAGTACTTTAATGAACGTGAGTGACTCGCAGCCCATCAGGTGGATGGATTCATATCATCTGAGTATGAAGCTGCATCTTAGAGACAAAGCCCCCAAATGAAAATGCCTTCAGGTAGGCTGGAGAGACAGGACAGCAGGTAGGGCACTTCCTTTGCACGCAGCTCACCAGGTTGAACCCCCAGTGTCCCGGACAGTCCCCTGAGCCTGCCAGCAGTGATCCCTGAGCGCAGAGCTGAGAGCAAGCCTGAGCACAGCGAGTGTGACCCCTCAAACAACAACAAAAATCTTGGGTTGTGTTTGAGCCTTTTGTAATAAGATGTTTGATAAATTAGGAAATATTTTAACGTTTATTTATATTTGTTTTTGGCCCATGCCCAGTGGTACTCAGGAATTACTCCTGGCAGGCTTGGAGAACTATATTGAATGCCAGGGATCAAACCTGGGTTGGCTGTTTGCAAAGCAAATGCCCTACCTACTGTACTGTTGCGCCGACCCCAGTAATTTTTTGTAGCTGTTTGCATTTGGGCCATAGCTGGTGGTGCTCAGGGCTTACTCCTGCCTTGGAGCTCAGGGATCACTCTAAGCAGTGCATCGGGAACCATGTGTTGCCGGGGATCAAACCTTGGTCAGCCACATGCAAGGTAAATGCCCTAATGACTGATATCACTCCTGCCCAAGGAAATTTTTTTTTCCTTCAAATTTTCTCTATATCTCAGTGGAGAAAAATGGAAGTGTTCTGGAATTCAGGAGTTAAGCTTTAATCATCTATATGTGTAGAAGTGTTACTACCTCCCAGGGATTTTTTTTTCCCTCTTTATTTTTGGGTCACACCAGCAATGCTCAGGAGTTACTTCTGGCTCTGCTCTCAGGTAGTACTCCTGACAGTGCTCAGGGGGTCATATGGAATGCCAGGGATCAAACATGGGTTGGCTGCATGCAAGGGAAACACCCTACCAGCTGTACTATAGCTCCAGCCCTTCCCAGGGAAATTTTTAATAGTTTTTTTACATTTTTTATTTTTATTTATTTATTGAATCACTGTGGGAAAAGTTACAAAGCTTTCAGGTTTAAGTCTCAGTCATGCAATCATCAAACAATTTCCCTTCACCAGTACTTATTTTTCACCAAGAACCCCAATATTACCCCCCTCCCAACCTTCCCAGTGCTTGCGAGGCAGATGAATTCTAGTTAACAATCTATCTACTTTGATTAGATTGTTTCGACAAAAGATGCACCATTATTACTTAGAGTTTACACCCCCAAATAAGACCTGCTGAAAAGGAATTGTGAAATAATTTGTTTTCTACAGCTGGTTACAAGAACCTATCGTGGCCACGCGATTTTGGATTTCTGGTATTTTACTTATTAAGCCTGGAAGTATTTCTGCCGAGAGATAATTATGAGATTGGTTTCTGTGATTCTGGAGCCATGGCTGTGCCGGAGAGCCACTCGTGGGGGGCAACTCGTGACCTCGGTAGGGCGTGAAGGACGAGCCGGGAACGCCCCTCTTCCCAGGGAAATTTTTAAATATTTCTTCAAGAGTGTTTCTACTGGGGCTGGAGAGATAGCACAGCGGGTAGGGTGTTTT